ATAGATAGATAATGAACAAACTGAGATAGATAGATAGATAGATAGATAGATAGATAGATAGATAGATAATGAACAGATGAGATAGATAGATAGATAGATAGATAGATAGATAGATAGTTAGATAGATAGATAGATAGATAATGAACAAACTAAGATAGATAGATAGATAGATAGATAGATAGATAGATGGATAGATAGATAGATAGATGGATATGAACAGACTGAGATAGATAGATAGATAGATAGATAGATAGATAGATAGATATGAACAGACTGAGATAGAGATAGATAGATAGATAGATAGATAGATGATAGATAGATAATGAACAAACTTAGTTAGATAGATAGATAGATAGATAGATAGTTAGATAGATGAGATAGATAGATGGATGGAACAAGATAGAGATAGATAGATAGATAGATAGATAGATAGATAGATAGATAGATAGATAGATAGATAGATAGATAGATAGTAACTTATTATGAGACCTAGGGTGCCCTTAGACGTGGTGCAATGGTTAGCAAGCTGGTTTCGCCAGTTCAATTACGAGTGAGTAGTGAGTTCGTTCCTCGCTGGATCCCCCATACTTTCGGCCTTGTGCTACATCTCAGCTACGCTTAGACAATGTATATATTAATAAACAAAACCACTTTAAGTATTTGAACTTGCAAACGTGGAGCACGTTGGCACAAATTATTTCATGGCACAAGAAATTTTATTTCAAAATAATGCAAAGTCTTTTGGCAATATTCCAGTATTAGATAAAATACATTTACCCATCACTACGGTGCTCTGATGGGTAAATGTATGAAAAGACATTTATAAAGATATTTGTTGACCCGAAGAAGAAAAACAAAAAAGAAGAATATCTTGTTTTTTTTTTTTTTTTTTTTTTTTTTTTTTTTGATTACCGGCAGACTTACTTGTATCTTGAGTCACTTTCCAAAGAACTGGGTCGAAAGTTGAACGTTATTTTTGATCTTTTCAAACTAACAAACAAACAAACAAAACTTTATATTTTAACTGAGGTATTGGCTTAACTATAACCCAATCTTTCTAAGCCTCAATGTAAAAGGTCATTTGAATTGTGTCAACATAAGAAACAAATTCTTTAGCATTCGCAGAAGAAATTTCATTTTTTTTTTTTTGATTTGGGGAAACTATTTTTTGGAAGACTATTTCGGAATTTTACTTAAAACATAAATTCCAAAAAAAAAAAGCTAAACAAAAAACAATTCTAATAAAAGCAGAAGTTTTTCCATGATGCTATTTAGTGTCTTGTGTCCAAGATAATTTATTCCACTGATGCCACTCGTTTCTTGACGAATATCGTTATCATTTTGTTATTCTCGTCTCTCAGCTACGACGAGGTAAGATACGGAAGTTGTTTTAAAATAAGTAATGAAATAAGTATGGAAGAGACTAAGCGTAAAATCTCCGACTGTCTGTCAGTGGCTTCGGATGAAAACATGGGGCTATCGTTTTTGGTTGAATTTCTGAAATTTCTTCGTTTGAGTTTCTAGTAAAAAAATTTCTTTTTTTTTTTTTTTAATTTTATTTTATTTTTTTTTTTTTTTTTTTCAAAATTTTCAAGGGAATGCCGGACAAACTGCCCACAGATGAAAACGAAACGCAATGCAACAGAATGATTCTACAGAAACATACTGAGAATGCTATGAACCGAAAATGATGGAATCACAAAAGACATACTTATACTTAACACCAGGAAGAGACAGTTGAAGTTTCTAGGAGACATAATGAGGAAGGGGGCTTGGAAAATTTGAGACTCACATGACAGATTGAAGGCAAGAGGAACAGAGGAAAACACGACATGACCTACCTAACGAGCTTAGGATAGAGGAACAAGGTTAAGGGGGAGATAACAAAACGTCAAACTACAAAGGACAGGAAATTGTGAAGAGCCATGACCGCCAACGTCATAGTAAAGAATGTAAGTATTTTAGTTTAAAAAAATTATTTAACGCATATTTCCCAGCGTTCTTAAATTCAAAAATTCAGAAAACTAATATTTTTATTTTTGTTTTTAAATACTTGCTGCAAAATAAAAAATCTTTACATTCACCTTGATAAAGAACAGCAGAGGACGAAACACGTCGGCTAAGATAAGTTTTCCTCTTGTCTTTAATCCTATATATATGCCGGCGAGGAGAAGCGTTCGTTGCAATGGAGACTGTCACTGCAGAGATAGTCTATTTCAAGCAGTTCTGTAGGCGGCTATCATCAGCCACTTGTTTTAATTAATATTGCTAAGATCTACCCGGATTATATACCAACGGATCGATTACCTGTACTATATATATATATATATATATATATATATATTAAGAAATGGACAAAGTCCGACAATTTATTTATTAAAGACATTTTTATGTTTAACGTTCTTTTTTATAGATACAAGTATTTAAGTAAATGCTCTGTTTATAATAAACAGTATTAAATAACATTTACCGGCCTGAATGTCCGAGAAATTTTCATAGAAAATAGATTCGAACCTGCATCCTATACGGAACCGTCATTTATAATAAAAAATGTTATAAGGAGGATTTGATAATTAAGTAATTCATCGAGTCTGAAATAAACCTCAACAGAATGCAGTGGACGGCCGGTTCGTCCTATATTTTGGGACTCATCAGCAGTGCGCATCCACTGCCGAGAATTGAAACGCTGACAGTTAGGTTATTAAGCAAACGTCATACCAACTGTTCCAACGGGCCTCGGCGACGGAAGGGTTGCAAATCAGACTCAAGATAGCGCCGCTCGCTCACATATTCCGTGGTGGGACTCAACTGAGATTCTCTCTAACCATAGGACTGTGACCCCCAGGAGCCACGACTGCTATCACCAAGCCGCTCAAACTTGAGCATTAGAAACCGGTTCAAGCAATGATATACAAATGATAGAAAGGAGGATTTGATAATTATAATTAAGTAATTCATCGAGTCTAAAAGAAACCTCAACAGAATGCAAAAAGCACTGGACGGCCGTTTCGTCCTATATTTCGTCCGGGTTTCAATTCTCGGTAGTGGTATGCGCACTGGTAATAAGTCCCTTGAGACCAGCATTCGATTTCATCGGTACAAGGCATATATGACAGAAAAACTCTGTATGCTTGAGTGGGTTGATTGGATCTGCAGGCCCAGAAACTCTCCTGTCAACTACCATGTGCCTTCTCAATCCAGATGTCGATCTGCAAACCTTGTTATAAACAAGCGTATTATTGGCAAGCTATATATATATATATATATATATATATATATATAGTTTAGATCCTGGGTTTCACGCTTTTTGCGATCGTCAGACAAAAGCGTGAAACCCAGGATCACAAACTCACATCTACCCAACCAAATATGTTAGCTCTATCTCTGATATTGAGCGCTTTTAATAAGTACCGAGCATATAATATATAAATAATAATATATATAATATATTACATGTATATATATATATATATATATATATATATATATATATATATATATTTATGGTTATATTTATATACACACACTTTTCACACACAGACACACTTATATATATATATAAAAGTGAACATAGAAGTTAACATTTAGAGGCGAGAGTCTGTTTCATACTAGACGAAATCGTCAAGCCACGAAAACTGAACAAGGATGGAAATTAAGAAAGCAGAAAAGAAGGCGAAAGATAAAGAAAAGAACAAAGAAAAAAAACTGAAAAAAGAAAGAAAATCAGAAAAAAACGAAGACTTACAGAAAAAAAAATTTAAAAAAGGAAATTAAGGGAAAAAAAAGAAATTAAAAAGGAAAAGTAAAAAGAAAAGCAAAACTGAAAAGGATAGAAAGACAACATACAAGAAAGACGGGAAAGAAAGAAAGAAAGAAAGAAAGAAAGAAAGAAAGAAAGAAAGAAAGAAAGAAAGAAAGAAAGAAAGGTATGGAAAGAGAGGCTGAAAGAAAGAAAGAAAAAGAAAGAAAGAAAGAAAGAAAGAAAGAAAGGTATGGAAAGAGAGGCTGAAAGAAAGAAAGAAAGAAAGAAAGAAAGAAAGAAAGAAAGAAAGGTATGGAAAAAGGCTGAAAGAAAGAAAGAAAGGAAGAAAGATGGAAAAAGGGAAGAAAGGTATGGAAAAGAAAGAAAGAAAGAAAGAAAGAAAGAAAGAAAGGAAGAAAGGAAGGTATGGAAAGAGAGGCTGAAAGAAAGAAAGAAAGAAAGAAAGAACGAAAGAAAGAAAGAAAGAAAGAAACAAACAAACAAACAAACAAACAAAGAAACAAAGAAAGAAACAAAGAAAGGTATAGAAAAAAAGAAAGAAAGAAAGAAAGAAAGATTATACAAAGACTGCAGTTGATAGATAGATAAAGAGAGAAAGAGTATGGGCATAATAAAGAAGAAAGAAAGAAACCTGTTGTTTCCATTCAACACATTTCGATTACGAAGTTTGTCCGCCAAGACGCCGATGAAGGCGTCAATTGTAAAGTTAACTCAAATTAACACATTTCGAATGCAGAACAAAAGAAAAAAAGACAGACAAAAAATTCTACTTTGAAGTGTGGGAATCGGATTGTCTTCTGTTGAGTTTCTTACCTATAGTTTCATTAACTCTTTCCAGACTGAATTTAGGCGGTGTGCTCCCAAATTATTGATTCCTGTTTGATTACGTTGACCCATGACGTCAAAAATGGATATTGGGAGCTATGACTGTAGAGGCGGAATCTTCCCGCTATAAAACCATATTTTCTTTTGCCTTGTGACAAATGGGAGCTAATTGACAATATGGTAAAACGGCGTCTGACATGAACGTGAATCTGTGAAACGTGTGTCATTGTCATTCCTTCATATGGAAAAATTGCAAGCTTTGATACTTTCGCAACATTTACGGTGACCTCTCAGTGGATGTGAGTACAGTTAGGCGTTAGGCAATTCGTTTCAGTAATGGCAATAAGGTAACTTGTCAATATTTCAATCAGATTGGCATCTGTGCACATATTGACAAATATAGACTGCAAATGTGTTATAGAGTAGTTTCACAGTGGAGGCTTGTATTTCACTAAGTCGGTCCTAAAAAGGTTCGACGTACAAAACGTTAGGAACTTGATATAATCGTTAATGACGCAGCAATCTAGTTGTGGTGGTTGATACTTTAATGTCCGACATCGACTGACTGACCAACTCACTGAGCTCACTGGCGACTGCTATTACTACTACTTATTATATGTGGGAGAGTCTATTAACAATAGAATAGGCGTGTTTCAGTATAACAAAATGCAAGAAAGACAGGATGCATGATTGTTAGCAAAAAGAACAGACTAACACTTTTAATAGCAAAACGGAAATGCCAAAATCAAAATACACGTACGACGACTTAAATATCTGGGAAGGCACATTCAATTATAATGCTGAGAATACCATGAACCTAACATATAATGACAGAGTTTTAGAAAGACTGAAAACAAATAAAACGCTTATACTTAACATTCAGGGAGGCATATAATGAGGAAAGAAGGCTTTGAAAATTTGATAACCACAGGGACAGTTTAAAGGCCAGAAGGGAAAAAAAAACATGCATAACTTACTGTTGTAGCATACCTACGGATGATAATGGGTATCTCCCCATTCACATCAATACGGTAGTAAATACTGTATGTTGGTCTGAAGTTGAAGATTCATCTCCAGCTGTACTGGTCAAATCCTCTGCCCACGAGCAGAGAGGATCCATTCCCAGAAACAGCTGCCCAATCGGAAACAGCTACCCAATCCCGTTTTATACGGGGTCTACGAATTTTTAGCCGAGCCTACGGGCTCGGATACCCCAAATTAAAATTCGGCCTTGTGCCGCTACTGACCACGGGGGCAGTTGATATATATCCTGCAGTTCGAGATTTGTCTCCAGCTGTGCTGGTTAAACGCTCTGCTTCCAGGCAGAAATGATCCCCAGACGAAGCTATGTCGAAGGGCAGAGTCTCGTCTCGGGAACAGCAACCGGATCCCGTTTTATTAGCGGTTCTATGGGGAATTTTTGGCCGAGACTACAGGCTCGGATGCCCCATTATAATTCGGCCGTGTGTCACATCTGACTGCGTGGGCGGGTTGGTAGATATCCTGAAGTAGGAGATTCATTGTGGAATTCTCTTGACTCGCTTCTAGTAGTTTACTACTTCTACGCGCGGCTGGCGAATCTTATATGTGTTTTTCGTGTCCTGGATATTATCGTTCATTACCGACCTTCGTGTGATTATTCTATTCAGTAACCTTCCCTAGGTTACAACACCTACCGAATGAGTTTGAGTAAATGGATGCCGGTTTAGAAGAGATGGCACAAAGACAAAATTTATTAAGTGCTACAAGGGACAGGAAGTTGTGGAGAGACATGAACGCCAACCTCCTGAAGGGACATAACACAAAGAAGAAGAAGAAGAAGAAAAAGAAGGTACATTTCTTTAACGAATACACTAGGCAAATCCTTGCGATATTTTTCTCTATTTCCTCAAAAATGATGTTAGTATGTCATCTCTGCCTAGTGTAGACCTCCCCAGAGATGAAGAAGAAGAGACTTGTAGCAACAGAAATGTTGTTCTACAGAAGGATGCTGAGGATACCATGGTCTGAACACGTGAGCAACGACGAAGTTTTAGATAAAATGGAAACAAAAAGGAAGCTTATGCTTAACGTCAGGTAGAGACAGTTGAAATTTCTAGGGCATACGAGGAAAGGGGACTTGGAAATTTTGATTGAAATCAAAGGAGACGGAGGAAAACAATATATAACTTAGCCAATGAGTTTGAGTAAATGGATGGCGGAAAAAGGTTTAGAAGAAAGGACACAAAGACAAAATTTATGAAGTACTACAAAGGAAAGGAAATTGTGGAGAGCCATAATCGCCAACGTACTCAATGTACACAACACATAGAAGTGGAGGAGGAAAAGAAGAAGAAAAATTGATGGAGAATTGGAAGGAGGAAGAATAGATAGAAAAAAAGAAGAAAGAATGCTGGAATAAAAAAGTGGAATAAGAATAATAATAATAATAATAATAATAATAATAACTGATATGAACACCACCCAAGACCCGGCTACAAGAAACTGGTATGAACATTGCCCACACCCTGTTACAGAGATAGAACCTGTTACAATTCTATGGGACTACACAATACACACTGACAGAACAATCAAAGCCAAATGCCCAGATATTGTTATTAACGACCACAAACAAAAACGGTGCCTCCTTGTTGATATGGCAGTCCCTGCTGACTGCAATGTATCTTTGAAGATATTCAAAAAGCTGTCAAAATACAAAGACCTTGAAATAGAAATCTCAAAAATGTGGCACATGGGAACATCAGCAATCTCTGTTGTCGCTGAAGCCCTAGGATTAGTTGGAAAAGACTCCAGTAGACAAAATGAAGGGATTCCTGGAAGTCCATGCCTCAAAGAGATAAAAAAATTGTTCTGACAAGTAGAGCCCATACTTTGCAAAGGGCTTTATCTATGTAATTTTTTTTTCTTTTTTTTTTTTTGTCAGTGGAAAGTGTCATGACGCCATTTCTAACCTTAGGTCACTGGGCGGGACCCGGAAAGAAATGTGTAAACGCCAGAAATCAAAGGAAATAATAATAATTATAATAAAAATAATTATTATAAAGTGCCTCCTTATTGATATGGCAGTCGCTGCTGACTGCAATGTATCTTTGAAGATATTCAAAAAGCTGTCAAAATACAAGGACCTTGAAATAGAAATCTCGAAAATGTGGCATATGGGAACATCAACAATAGTTGGATCCCTAGGACTGGTTGGAAAAGATTGCAGTAGACTAATTGAAGGGATTCCTGGAAGTCCATGCCTCAAGGAGATACAAAAAGTACAGCCCACACTTTACGAAGGGCTTTATCTATGTAATTTTTTTTTTTTTTGTCAGTGGAAAGTGTCATGATGCCATTTCTAACCTTAGGTCGCTGGGTGGGACCCGGAAAGAAATGTGTACACACCAGAAATCAAAGGAAATAATAATAATAATAATAATAATAATAATAATGGTAGATTAACCAATTGGTTTATACGGTAGAAATTAATAATGCAGAGAGGCTTCATCAAAATATTATGGGGGCCTGCGAAATCTTTTGACACTGTGTGGGAGTATCTGAAAAGGTCCACTAGTCAATGATCCGACGGGGGCATACGTGTGTAGAAGCCAGCGGAGGATATTTAGAACATTGCTGTGGTGAGATACAACGATGTCCTTTTGGACATATATTTATCTGGACATTTTACCTTGTTTTGGTGTCAGGCACCTACCCCAAAAGTTTGTAAAAGTATTTTTGAATTGTATCTTGGATTGTACATTTGACATCATCTACCGCAAACTTTAAATTAATAAACAAAAAAGGGAAGGATTTGTGGACATGTGTATATATTTTCTTTTGATCTTGCTTTGGGGGTAGGAACTCCCCCCACCACCACCACTACCCAAGTTTGTAAAATTATTTTATAAACACCCTGTATATATATATATATATATATATATATATACTAGCAGCATGGCCCAGCGTTGCCCGTGTTTGATTCAAAAATCGTACGACTCATACAGCAATCGTTATCACTTGATTTAAAATGTTTTTGCCCTTCCTTGCCTTTAAAGGAGTGCCCTTTGCCCTGCTGATGTTGCTACATGCCTTACTTCTTGCCTATCTCACACTGCGAATTTTTTCGAAGCTCTATACTAAACATTAAATCTGTTCCGAAAAAAGAACTAAACAAAATGAACACAAAACGATCAGATTTTAAAAAAAGGACTTGTAACTGGAAAAACCGAATGAAAAAAAAATGTTAACAACAAATACTTTTTCACACCCAACCCAGTTCTGCGGAATCAGAATCAACATTGAGTTTAAGCAAGCGAATGAGCCAATTGGAGTAAAGTGCCATGCAGATTTAAATTTTTCCCATTTGTGACGAATGCAGCTATCGATTTTTTTGCATGCTAGTTAACATTCGTGTCAGCTAGCTGTTGGCCCTCATGCTGGCCAATAGAATCTTCCTGCCTGTTCGCGGCAGCCAGCTATAGGCTCTCACTCTGGCCAGTAGAAAATGGCCGCAAACTATATGAAAACTGCCGTAGAAGCATGAAAAAATCGATTATTTCCGCTATCGATGGGAGTTGGGAAATGCAAAGTCGGTCTTGGCCTTCCTGCTAACTTGGAGCATGTGCATGTAAGTTTTGGTGCAAATCCGCCGAAAATTGTGGCCGCGCATTCGTTACACACACACACACACACACACACACACACACACACACACACACACACACACACATATCCTGCCTTTTATAGACAGAGATACACATATTTTCTGTTTAGAATTATTTTGCCCTCTTCGTTTTTTTGTTGTTATTGTTTATTAAACATAGATAGATAATGAATTGACTTAGATAGATAGATAGATAGATAGATAGATAGATAGATAGATAGATAGATAGATGAACAGCCATACATACATACATAGAATGAACAAACTGGGGTAAATAAACGCAAATTGATGGTAGATCTTTTTAAGAACTTAAAGAAATTTGTCGATCACTCTTTCACAAAACTTCCGCTGCCGTCAGTAGCAATATTAACCCCAAGAATATATGAAACAATCTTAACCTACGTTTTCGAATCCATTTTAAAGACCAAAATATTCAGAATGAATCTAAATACCTTCATAGCCCATCTTCACGTTCATGTAGCAGTCTAGAAATACCCAATTATTTTTTTTTACGTAAGAGCATCGAATTCACGAAACATCAGGTAGACATCGTTCAGATTAAAGAAATCAGACGACACAAGTCGCCATTTTGCTGTGGTTCCGTGCTTAACAAAAAACACAGCTCCGTTTGTCACATGCTCTTTCATTTTCAAATTCCTCCGCGAATAACAAAAAAATAGACAAATAAAGCGGTGAACAGAGAAAGAAGATAAAAAAAGTAAACGAGCCTTCGCGCATTGAACAGATTTGGTCTTCTCGCGCTTCCAGTTGAAATCTGGTGTTTATATTAAAAGTTCTTTTGTCTTGGCGACGGAAAACATAATATCAGTCAGTAAGTTGAGCACAAGAAGTGTCACTTAGGAATGTACTTTCAGTTAGACGGAACCTCTCACTTATCACTGCACACAGCTAGTCCGCCAAGCAAAGTAGACCGACTGTGTAACGAGGGCAGTGGGAATCAGGATCCCAAATGTATTTTGTTCGGCGGAAGATTGCAGTCGTGTCGAGCAGCATCTCTGGGGGAAGAGAAGAAGAAGAAGAAGAAGAAGAAGAAGAAGAAGAAGAAAGAAGAAGATTGAATGAAAGGTAAAACAATAGAAGAATAAAGAAAGGATGCTGAAATAAAAGAAGAAAAGAAGACATATGGAAAGTGGAGGAATTGATTGAAGAAGAAGAAGAAGAAGAAGAAGAAGAAGAAGAAGAAGAAGAAGAAGAACGAATGAATGAATGAATGTAGGGAGAAATAATAAAAAAAATCAGGAACAAGAAGAATAAGAATAATAATAAGAATGAATGAATGAATAATAGAAAAAAAGGGAGAAGAAAAATAATGAATGAAAATAAAGGGAAGAAAGAAGAAAAAAAAGAAAGAAGAATGAATGAATGAATGAAAGGAGAAATAATAGAAAAATCAGGAAGAAGAAGAAAAGAATGAATGAATGAATGAATGAATGAAAAATGAAAAAGGAGAAAATGAATAGAAAAATAATAGAAAAAGAAGAAGAAAAGAAGAACGAATGAATGAATGAATGAAAGGAGAAATAATAGAAAAATCAGGAAGAAGAAGAAAAAGAAGAAGAATGAATGAATGAATAAAAGGAGAAATAATAGAAAAATTAAGAAGAAAAAGAAGAACGAATGAATGAATGAATGAAAGGAGAAATAATAGAAAAATCAGGAAGAAGAAGAAAAAGAAGAAGAATGAATGAATGAAGGAAGAAGAAAAAAAGAAGAAGAAATGAATGAATGAAGAAATAATGAAAAATGAATGAATGAATAAAAAGGAGAAATAATAGAAAAATCAGGAAGAAGAAAAAAAGAAGAAGAAATGAATGAATGAAATAATAGAAAAAAAGAAGAAATAATGAATGAATAAAAAGGAAAATAATAGAAAAATCAGGAAGAAGAAGAAAAAAAGAAAAGAATGAATGAATGAAATAATAGAAAAATGAATGAAAGAAGAAGAAATAATGAATGAAAAATCAGGAAGAAGAAGAAAAAGAAGAAGAATGAATGAATGAATGAAAGGAGAAATAATAGAAAAATCAGGAAGAAGAAGAAAAAGAAGAAGAATGAATGAATGAATAAAAGGAGAAATAATAGAAAAATCAGGAAGAAGAATGAAAAGAAATAAAAGAAAAATGAATGAAAAAAAGAAGAAGAAGAATGAATAGAATAAAAGGAGAAATAATAGAAAAAATCAGGAAGAAAAGAAAAAAGAAGAATGAATGAATGAATAAAAGGAGAAATAATAGAAAAATTAAGAAGAAAAAGAAAAAGAAGAAGAAGAAGAATGAATGAATGAATGAATGAAAGGAGAAATAATAGAAAAATCAGGAAGAAGATGAAGAAGAAGAAGAAGAAGAAGAAGAAGAAGAAGAAGAAGAAGAAATTCTCTTCCCACTTGTTTTATTCCTGTCAAACTGCCAATGACGAGATGCCTATGCCGTCTGGGAATAATTCAAGTTGTCGTTTTTCCCGTGATAGTGCAATCGGCACAAATGTAGGACGTGAAAACGTTGTACGCATTTAAACGCTGGGGAGTTTAATTACTTCAGATCGTTTTCTTTACAATAATCTACTGAAGATTGGATAACTGTAAAAAGTTGTGTTCCTCTCAAACGTAGCACGCAATTCACTAGTCTGTTTTTTTTTTGTTTTTTTTTACCAAACATCCGTCATATTCAGTTTTCACAACTCGCACATTGTGTGTGAGTAATTGGCAATGCACAAACTTCTTTTCTCATCTTGACTGTTATAAAACAGAACGAAAGTGTAAAGGGCTACATTTAGTGTTAATTACTGAGTTAAATATTTGTGAGATAGGAACATACATACATACATACATATATATATATATTTCAGTTCCAATCTATTCACCCAAATATTCGATGGAAACCGGCGAAGGTATTTCATCACAGCGTCTCGTGACGAACTTCTCCAGCTAAGTAAAATGTAAAAACTGAATGAAGTTCTCGGATCCTCATCCGTCGAAATCGACGGGGGAGTTCTTTATATATATATATATATATATATATATATATATTATTATTTCAACCTTTGGATTAAATTATTTCACCACAGCCCTTTTGTGGATCTTCAGACTTTTACTTCCAACCTTTGGAAGTAAGTCTGATGATCCAGTCCTTTAAAAGGGCTGTGGTGAAATAATTTTATATATAAATATATATATATATATATATATATATATATATATATATATGACGTCACACATTAGAAATAGACAAAGTCCGACAATTGTTTAAAGACATTTTTATGTTTATACATTCTTTTTATAGATACAAATATTTAAGTAAGTGCTCTGCTTTTTTTTATAATAAGCGGTATTAACAACATTTAACGGCTTGAATGGCTGAGAAATTGTCATAGAAAATATGCGTCCTCCAACAGAAATCGAACCTGTATCCTATACGGAACCGTCAGATAACCTGACGTGCTTTACCGTTTGAGCTACAGAGGAGCGTTAGGTTAGCAAAGTCGATTTTACTGTTTTTAAACGACAATCTTCCATGATTCTCTCACGTCCGTTCATATCTGCTCGATGCGTATCCAAATGTAAACAAATAATTAAAATAATTGTCGGACTTCGTCCATTTCATAATGTGTGACGTCAAGTACATATTTAAAAATTGTGTATTTAGACAGCAATCCTTCTTTTATGCACATTTCATTGAATACGACAGACAAGGTGCTTTTATTTAGCTTTTTATACAATGTCTCATGTGATCTAATAATGTTTTTCTTTTCCGATGAGAAATTATATAAAAACTGTGCGAATGTTCTTTTTATCCGAGCGCTTTCGGCTATACAGTTAACCATTTTCAAGGATGCAATATTTTAACTGTTAAATAGGAAATAGTTTTTTGCATGTATTTATTTATATAATGTTTTCATTTTTCAAAACACGGTCAAGATATTGTGTCCATGTCCATAGTTGATATTATTAAGTGTTGTTATTTTTTGTTTGTTTTTTTTTTTTTTGCTTTTATTAATAAGGCTTACTTTTAGCCATTTTTGCATGTAGATGATGCTAATATATTTGTATCGTCAACAAATATGTAACGATTACTGTCTGTTAAGTCTCCATGAATATTTAAGTGAGATCTAATTGAGCTATGGTCAGAAAGGTGTAGAATGAGTCTGCGTGTCAAATATGATATACATATATATATATATATATATATATATATATATACACACACACACACACACATATATATATATATATATATATATATATATATATATAAAAAGACAGTAAAAATTAAACTAATTATATACTATACTAAATTTAACACAACAAACTTAATCATATGTAATAACTGCTCCGTCAACTAGTATTTTGGAATAAAACATCTTAAGTGGCCTTTGGGAGATTGTATCTCTGGCAAAATAGTAAGTACATATGTTGGCTGGACGACCACAACATTATCAAGACGTCTTACACTTCATTTATCGGATACGAGTTCTATTGCACAATAACTAAAAGCACATTCCTTTCCAACATCACAATACAAGAAAATATTTGTTGACAATATATTACACCAGGAAAATAGTTTTAAAAAAAAGCCTCAAAATTCTTGACGGCCTCTATATCAAAATCAACAAACACTCAACAAAATTTATTACGAATATAGCAACAACATATTAAAGTGCATATAACGTTTATATGCTAATGCCATTTTACATTTCTACCAATTCCCGGTGTCAGCTCCCTTATACTGTAACGCTTGTTTTGCAAAAATTTCAATAACCATAATGCATACATTTTGAATTTTAAAATAACTTTAACAGCGGGCGTCCGCGCTTGTTTTTAAAAATAGCCATCAAGACGGAATTTAGATTTTATCGCAGTTACAATAAGTTTGTCTTCGTCATTTACCCCTGAAGATGACCTTAGTAAAGATCGAAAGTATTTGGATTAAAAAAAAAACAAACAAAAATCTACGGCGCCTTACTTGGTGGATTAGAAACAGAAAGAGAAACATTACTAAGGATTGAGAACAAAAGAAGAGTAATAAGGAGGACAGTAGATAGCCATTGACATTGCATTTACATCTTTGAAGATCAAAGCTGGCTGGAAAGCATGGAGCCGAAAAGGAGTTCCACAAGCGAGAAGTGTGAGAAAAAAAACTGATAGCATAGAACTTAAGGTTATATCTAATATCAACTGTAAATTGATGAGACCGCATCGCCAATCTAGTACTGCGCTTAAATTCTTAAAGTCTAGCTTCTATGGCGAAGAGGTCACACGAACAATTACCATAAAAGTATTTTTTTTAAAAAAAGCACAGGGAGGCAACTTTACGGTGGTGGATAAGTGACTGAAACCGGGATGCCAGATCAGGACCAATAATATTGCAGATTCTTTAGAGTTTATCAAGGATCTCTAGATATATAACAGTAAGCATGGACAAATGGTAAACTTAAATTCAGTATATTCGGCATATATTGATCGAGCAGCCAGTGCTACTGTCTTTGAAATTTATAAAATACTAGCAGTAGAGCCCGGCATTGCCTGGGGATGTAACAGTAAGAGATAGATCAAGTATCGACCATCATAAAGACTGAAAAATAAAATTGACAGATTATTGTTTAAGGTTGACGGACACGCATGTCTTAAATAGTTTTTTTTTTTTTTTACGAATTAGTCAAACCCAAACTCAAACAAAAACATTGTTTTCAATCATTATGTGTCTACCAATTGAATAGAATTTTATTATAAACAATTGACTTGTAAATGGAATTTTTAAAGCATTCTGAATGTAAAAATAAAGAAAAAAGTGTGCAAGACAAGAAGAAACAGTACCTTCCAAAAAAAGTTTTGTCGAAATCGGTTGAAAAATGTAGGAAATCCGATCCCATATATAAACGAACACACACACACACACACAAACAAACAACCTGGGTTTTATAATAAGTATAACTCGATATGAGTTGTCCCCCTTTCATTCTGGCGACAGAATCGTGTTTTATCGTGTTTTCAAATTGATTTCGTGCAAAAACAATTGTATTTTTCGAATTTTTGGCGCTGTCAGAACCACCTCAAGGTAATTTTACGTAGTCCTGTGAAGTGTGAACACACACACACACACACATAACCTGAAAAATGTAGGAAATCCGATCCAATATATAAACGAACAGACAGACACAAACGACCTGGGTTTTATAATAAGTATGATTTTTAAAAATATAGGTTTCTCAAGTCCAGTATCTTTTATTACTCTTTCCGACATTGATGGGGGTTTCTTTTTTTAATCTTTTCTTTCACGTAGTATGGAACGACGACATCTTGAATAGCAACGTAATTGTTCCTATTCTCTTCGACTTACGTACTGTGCTATTGCTAATTGCTATTCCCTTCGACTTACGTACTTTGCTATTGCTATTTGCTATTCTCTTCGACTTACGTACTTTGTTATTGCTATTTGCTATTCTCTTCGAGTTCGTCTTCGCTAACTATTCCTTCGACTTACGTACTTTGCTATTGCTATTTGCTATTCTCTTCGACTTACGTACTTTGTTATTGCTTTTTGCTATTCTCTTCGACTTACGTACTTTGCTATTGCTATTTGCTATTCCCTTCGACTTACGTACTATGCTATTGCTATTTGCTATTCTTTTCGAGTTACGTACTTTGCTATTGCTAATTGCTATTCTCTTCGAGTTACGTACTTTGCTATTGCTAATTGCTATTCACTTCGACTTACGTACTTTGCTATTGCTATTTGCTATTCTCTTCGACTTACGTACTTTGTTATTGCTTTTTGCTATTCTCTTCGACTTACGTACTGTGCTATTGCTATTTGCTATTCTCTTCGACTTACGTACTGCTATTGCTAATTGCTATTCCTTCGACTTACGTACTTTGCTATTGCTATTTGCTATTCTCTTCGACTTACGTACTTTGTTATTGCTATTTGCTATTCTCTTCGACTTACGTACTTTGTTATTGCTTTTTGTTATTCTCTTCGACTTACGTACTTTGCTATTGCTATTTGCTATTCCCTTCGACTTACGTACTATGCTATTGCTATTTGCTATTCTCTTCGAGTTACGTACTTTGCTATTGCTAATTGCTATTCTCTTCGAGTTACGTACTTTGCTATTGCTAATTGCTATTCACTTCGACTTACGTACTTTGCTATTGCTATTTGCTATTCTCTTCGACTTACGTACTTTGCTATTGCTATTTGCTATTCCCTTCGACTTACGTACTTTGCTATTGCTAATTGCTATTCTCTTCGAGTTACGTACTTTGCTATTGCTATTTGCTATTCTCTTCGACTTACGTACTGTGCTATTGCTATTTGCTATTCTCTTCGACTTACGTACTTTGCTATTGCTAATTGCTATTCCCTTCGACTTACGTACTTTGCTATTGCTATTTGCTATTCTCTTCGACTTACGTACTTTGTTATTGCTATTTGCTATTCTCTTCGACTTACATTTTAGTTGTTGCTGTTGTTGAAAGTCCTTAAGTAATGTGGTTTCTTCTACTTGGTAAAGTTTTTGTCTGAGGTTGTGCGGGTGGCGTGATGGATAAGCGGCTTGGAATAATTAAAAAAGAACCGGGTTCGAATTCCAGTCGAGTTCCTTGAATCCACTTACGGGTAATTAATCTAAACAAAGGTATGACCCCCATCATTTCTCCCAGGTTTACGGCCATGTCACGTTAAAACAATAATTCTCGTACGGTCTCCAAAGTTAAGGAACGTCGAGTCTGGTCAATACCTACATGGGTGACTGCTCGTGAATACCATGTGCTGTAAACTTAGATGTTCATCTGGTGTAATGTATAACTATACTTGCATTGACCATATACCACCACTATATATATATATATATATATATATATATATATATATATATATATATATATATATATATAATGCATATTTCATTAAATAATATAGACAAGTTTTGTCTATTTTAAGCACATTCCTTTCATATCGTCTGATAAGCTTAATAACATTATCATTGAAAGACGAAATAAAATCGCCATACTGATACATGTTTTTTTAATCCTATCTAAGCTTTCGGCTTACATAAGCCATCATTAAAGATGACAATTACATTACAGTAAATTAAACAATACACGGACATAGCCACAATGATAGTCAGTTTTGTTTGCATGGAAGATTTCAAAGCACAAACAAACATCGAGACGCTGGAAGCGAAAATCGCACCACGACCCAAAGGCTTAGATAGGATAAAAAACATATGGTGATTTTCTTTCGTCTTTCAATGATAATGTCATTAATCTTATCAGACGATATGAAATGAATTTGCTTAAAATAAATAGACAAAACTTGTCTATATTATTTAATGAAGCATGCATTAATGACAAAATGCTTCCTAAATACACGCAATATATATATATATATATATATATATATATATATATATATATATATATATTAATAATAATTTAGTGTATCAGGACTAGTCCCTTTTGTATTCTAATATATTGTTAAATATAACAGACAATTAATGTCTATTATTTTTTACCACTAGCTGTTCTAATCTTCATATAGTTTCTTTCATTTCGGGAGAAAATAAAATGCAAATCCTGCTAATAACCCATGGCGAGGAGAGATGAGCTAACACCTTTCCCAAAAGAAAATGCATGAAAGCGAGCATAACAGCCGCGCCCTTGATTTGAACCCTATACACCAAACCTACATCCTGAGTCGATAACCGCTACCCTAGGTGTACATCCAATAGATTTGCTAACTGTAGCTTAGACGTGGTTCAAGGCTGCAAGTATGGAGCACCCAGTGAGGATCGAACTCACTACACAATTATAATTGATCTAGCGAGACAAGATTGAAGTGTCACACTCCGAACAGATATCAGTAAATTGACATCGATAGATAATGACCAGATTAGATAGATAGATAGATAGATAGATAGATAGATAGATAGATAGATAGATAGATAGAGACTCGCAGACATAGGGATAATTATCAGAACTAGCTAGATAATTATAAAAAAATAGATGGACAGAGGATAATGATCATATATATATATATATATATATATATATATATATATATATATATATATATATATATAATTATTTATTTAAAATATGATTACATCGCTACATACTTTGGATTATTTACCTAACGATTTCTTTCCTATTTTCTATATATTTTTACGCGCGCGAACACACACACACACAGATATATATATATATATAGAGAGAGAGAGAGAGAGATAGAGAGAGAGAGAGAGAGAGAGACAGACAGACAGACAGACAGAAATAGGGATAATGATCAGAACTAGATGAATGAATGAATACATACATACATACATACATACATAGAGATACATCGAGAGATAGATAATGATCAGAACTAGAGATAGATAGATAGATAGATAGATAGATAATGATCAGAACTAGATATATATATATATATATATATATATATATATATAGAGAGAGAGAGAGAGAGAGAGAGAGATAAAGAGATTGAGAGATAAAGTTAAGAACCAGACATAGATAGATAGATAGATAGATAGATAGATAGATGAAGATAATGATCAGAACTAAAGATAGATAGATAGATAGATAGATAGATAGATAGATGGAGAGAGAGAGGGAGAGAGAGATGTGAATAGCATATAAGACAGAGTGAAAGTGGGTAAGGTAGTGGCGACTCTGTGCTTGTCACATGACTGCATTACGAGGCACATCAGGTCATCATGTTGATCTTCGAACCGGGTGAATAGCACTCATCATTTTTACATAATGCAACAAATATTATAGTTGAAACATAAAAGTCTGAGAGATCAAATCTGATCTGTATTAGTTCATCGGAAAATATCGGAACAAACCAGGATGAATAACTTCAATTCGGTTCAAGCCACAGAATCACGTCGCCAATCTAGCAAGAGATGGTAAAACGCGAGTTCACTGCGCACATTGGCAGAGTCAGAAAAAAAAAATAAGAATGCTGGGAAGGAAAAAAAAGCGAAAGAAAGAGAAAAGAAAAGTACTGAGTCGTTGAGAATAGGCAATCGGGAAAGGAATGTACTGATCAAGTAAATCTGACAGGGTTTTTTTTTTTTTTGAGAGACGGGATCTTTTCACAGAACTAAATCAAATATCTTCGTCATCAAATCCATTTATGGTGCAAATAACCATCAATAATATTCTCCAAGATTAAAGCTGAACATAAAAGGGACTCTCAATCTCAGTTCCAATCTATTCACCCAAATATTCGATGGAAACCGGCGAAGCTATTTCATCATTAGCGTCTCGTGACGAACTTCTCCAGCCAAGTAAAATGTAAAAACTGAATGAAGTTCTCGGATCCTCATCCGTCGAAATCGACGGGGGAGTTCTTTTATATATATATATATATATATATATATATATATATATATATTATTTTTCAACCTTTGATTAAATTATTTCACCACAGCCCTTTTAAAGGACTGTGGATCATCAGACTTTACTTCCAACCTTTGATAATATTAGATTATATATATATATAAGAAATCTTATTACTTATTGATGGATTCTAAGAAAATTAAAAGTTGTTGCATATTATAATATTTGTGAAATCTATTTTGTAATCTCCTTTAATCAGGGTCGGTGTGTTTTAGCAGGTGCTTGGATTTATGGATACATGTAGACATTAATTTTGCCCTCGTATTCGTGATTTAAGTGTGTTAATATAATAAGCTTCTCCAACAGACACAAGTTACATCTATCTCCATTTCCATTGTATGGCATAGCTTTCGCGATTACTTCCCATGTAATGGTTAGGTTCTGGTGATTGATTTTTTAATCGCCAAACATACTTTGAAAGTGATGAGCAGTTTTATTTTTTTTTTTTTTTTTTTTTGTATTTTCAAACCACCCGCGTCTAAATCGGAAGTGATATTATCATTGTTGACTTGGTAAAGTTTAGTTTACTGCTTTGGTAAAGTTTGACACAAAGCTGAAGTTGGGGGGTAATCACGTTGGCCTCTCTCCCGTCTCTGGTCTCGTTTTCGTCTCTTCTGCGTAATTCGTTTCACTCATTCGTGTGGCACCCTGCATTATTAGAAAAACTAAAAAGAAATATTCATAGAAATATGATTTAATCTTTATTCGGTTTATTAACCAGTTGTTAGTTATTTAGACGAAGAATAATTAAGTTTTGAGAATATTTCTCTAATTGTATTTAGGCGATCCTAAGGGAAGAAGAAGAAAAAGAAAGGAGAGGAGGAGAAATAGATAAGCCGGTCATAAGCGAAAACAGGTGTCAAGAGATATCTAGGCCAACGCGCCTGACCGATTTTTTAGAACAATGGAAAACGAAATATTAATCGGAAAGGGGTGTCTTTGGAATGAGAAGGTGACCGCTAGAATTGTATACAGATCCTGACCTGTTGAAGATTAGAACCCCCACGATGATGAAGTGAGGATATTTTCAATTCAGATAATTAAGATTTTGACTGTCAGGCCGAGCAAAAACAAAGAAATGAAAACAATTGTTTTGGCTCAGAAAGCGCCAGCGAGACGAGAAAAATTCTTCCTGAAGTCACATCTAATTAGCGGCGGGCTGTTTTGACAAAACCAAAAGGTGAGAAAGGCCGAGATTGTCATTTTTCGTGCGTGCGAAAAAGGCCAAATTGATTTTGTTTTTTTAGCAAGGCGTTTCTTTCCCAGAACAAAGCCGGGATAGACCACGCCCGATTGGAGACGTCACGAAGGACGGAGACGCCCAACCAGAATCTCATTAGCCGAAAGCGGTCACGTGATATGCGAGAAAGAGGAGAAAGGACGCTCGACCAGGACCCATTGGTCGAAAAACGGTCACCTGACATACGAGAGACCGGGAGATGGGTATGCGCCTCCCCGAGGCACTGTGAGGAAGTATGGGTGAAAATAAGAGCGATAATGGAAATCAGAACTAATGCGACTTTTGGAATTATCAAAACCCTGACGCCGACAGACCCACCCCAGTTTGTTGCTGCGTCAATAAAAGCGGGACCCCAATCGACAGAAATCAGAGAGTTGCAGGGTAGACGGCCAGAGCAGTTGGAGAGCGGACGGCGGGCCCTGCTCATCTGCCCTTGCGGGCAAGAAGGGCCGGTCCGTTTGGCCGGACAGGCAGAGAAGTTGCAGCCAAGTCGAAGAGAAGAAAATTGCTCGAAAGCCGCAGAGAAGTTGAGAGCAGAATTGCAGGCCAGACAGGCCGAAGAATTGCAGGCCAGATAGGCAGATGCACAGATAGGCAGAAGAGCTGCAGGCCAGACAAGCAGAAGAATTGCAGGCCAGACAGGCAGTAAAGTTGCAGGCCAAACAAGCAGATGAGTTCAGCCCCGGAAGGCAGAGAGAAGAGTTCACCTCAGACGGCAGAGAGAAGAGTTCGGACCTTGGCGAGAAGAGTTGCAGGACGGAAGAAGAAGAAGTTACTTGCAGTTGCGACTAGAAGAAGTTGAAACCAGGCCAAGCCTGAGGGTGGAAATTCGTACAACCCAAATCGAAGTGAAGAAATACGTCCAACTCAAGCCGAAGGGAATAAGCTCGTCCAACTCAAGCCGAAGAGAAGAATCAGCCGTGAACGACTGGTAGAGATTAACGCCCAGTGTCGAAACCAAACCACACTCCGACATACAAAATTCTAGAGAGTAGGCAACTCGAAGTCTTTAAATTGTATGATAGAAGCTTGGTGCCACAGTCCACAAAACGGGTCGGGAAGTAAGAATAATTTTTATGTAACGAACATTAGATATAAAAGGTTGTTACCCTTTCTTATCAGTAATTTTTTGGCCTCGTGAGTTTTTTCTTTTTTGCTTGTGTGTTGCCACCCCCGTTGAACCCAGCTGGCATACGGCCCCGACTCCTGTTTGATCCCGTCTGTCTAAGATCTAATCACAACGTGGGTAGGCAGACCGGAGATCAGTACAGTTACCTAGTAACCAGGTGTTGGAAGCGAGTTGGGAAACGGCGAGGCTGGTAATCATCTAACCAGAGGTTGGAACGTCACACTTGGAGCAGCGAGGAGCGAACAACTGACGCCGCGGCAAAAAAACGTCACAACTGGTGCTGTCCGTGACAAGGATCGACTCTTGGGCGGCCACATCACGTCACGTCACAGTTGGAGCCGCGAACGAGATCGAACGACAGAGTCGACGCTGCGACCAAGGAGGGGCGACGTCACATTCGTATTTATGGACATTCGCCCAAACTGGCGAATTCAGAGAATTCGATAATTGTGGGGAATTCCCTTCTTCCACTCTCTCATATTATTACCTCTCACTAAATCTCCTCGGTGAGCGTGGATGGCTTATCCACCCACTCATGGTATTCCAAGTCAACTTTCGACCAGGGGAATCAACTCCACATTCGTTGCTCACGAAAAATGAAATTTTCGCTTTACAGCTTGTATTTTCAGCTGCGTAGAACACATGTCAATCATCATTGGCCTCTAAGTCTGGGTAACTTTTCCATTGTTCAAACTGCTCGACATACAATTCAAGTCGTTTATGTGTGAATTAAATTCTTAAATCTTCCAACGAGTTTTCGGTATTAACCCTTCTCGTTTCAATGTCAATTTCTTATGTTTTAATAAAAAATTTCTTACGTTTTACCACCACAACGACAAATAGCATCACAATAGAATGAAACAACATATTGCATCTCCCAAGTTTTGTTGTAAATATTATTGGCTGCTCTGAAAGAGTGTGCTGGACAAAAGCAAATCCACAATAAATTCTCTATTCAATCAATTCGAAGTCCTAACTTCCTCAACTGATAAGGCTGAATGCTTTGCTCGGAAATTTTCATCCGACTCATACGAAGTACCCACATCTGATTTTTCCCTAGAACTGAGGCTCTTTTGAGTGAGATGAGCATAACGCCGTCGATGTTATTGGACATCATCTCTAAATTACTCTCATAAAGCAAGTGGTGGTGACGGGATACCAGCCGTAGTCCTATAGAAATGTGTTCCTGAGGGTGGCTCCAGTTCTCTCCGAACTATATGACTATTGCCTCGCTTTCCAGCCTGGAAGTCATAATCTGTTGTCCCTGTTTTTAAGAACTCTAAAGACCCTTCTGACCCATCTAACTACAGTCCTATCAGTCTCCTACCATTCTTCGGCAAAGTCTTCGAGGCTTTAATCAATGCCGAATTGGTTAAGCACTTTACCTCCCATGATCTAGTCTCTGACAAACAATATGGTTTCCGTTTTGCCCGGTCTATCAATGACGTGTTTACGGCCATAACTGGATTTATATACCAAGCTCTTGATAATAACGGCGAAGCTTGAGTTGTGCTTCTGGGCGTTTGATAAGGTTTGGCATGCCGGCCTTCTTTGTAAGCTTCAGGGAGACGGTATTACAGGGCGATTATATGATTTAATCTAATAATTCCTGCCAAACCGTGAAATAAAGATCGTTCTAAACGGGTTCTCCTTCAGTTCCTTTCTTACGAAGGCTGGCGTTCCCCAAGGCTCTATCCTGGGTCCTACACTGTTTCTGATCTTCATTAATGATCTTCTTGGTGTCATCAGTTCCCAAGTAAGCATCTAAGCAGACGACACTACCATTTACTCCTGTCTCAATAGTAAATCCAGCATTGCTGATAAAGTTAACCTGGCCGTTAGTCTCGAAAAGGACTTCCAGTTTCTGGTTGACTGGGGCAGGAAATGGCTTGTAAACTTTAACGCCTCCAAAACTAAACTGCTCTCATTTACCCACCATAAAGAAACCTCCCTGCTTCCTATCAGCATGGCTGATGCTCAACTTCACGAGAGTGTCCCTCTGCGACTTCTTGGTCTCACGTTTTCTACTGACCTGATGTGAACCAACTACATTGAATCAATAGCTTCATCTACCGCAAGGAAAGTTGGTTCACTGTGACTTTTAGTCCATTCTTCAAATCTATAAATCTACCATTTGGCCTTGCATGGAATACTGTTGCCATATATAGTCTGGTGCCCCCACTGTTCGTCTCGAGGTTCTCGATAAAATCCAAAGACGGATATGCAATGTGATCGGCCCTGACCTGGCATCTCGACACCAGTCTCTTTCTCACTGACGTGATGTGACTTCCCTCTGTCTTTTCTACAAATATTTTCATGGCAACTGCTGTGACGAGTTATTTTCACTGGTGGCCCGACTGCATGAATTTAAGCTTGCTACTAGGTTGGCATCTTGGTCCCAGTCTTTCACTGTCGAAACAGTTAAAAGTAACCGCCTCTTCTACTTCAACAGCCTCTTATTTTGCACTTCCCAACAGTGGAACTCCCTTCAACTTGCTTATCTGATAGCTATAATCTTCAAATATTCAACTGTGATGTCAATCGACATCTTTTAATGGCTTGATCTTGAACCCCGTCCTTCTCTTTATCCTTTCCTTAAACACCCCTCTTTACTCTTACTTCCACTCTCTGTAAGCCCTTGCGTAATAGTGGCACACCCGCCTTGCGTGGGGTGAAATGCTTTAAAAAAAAATGTTTCTGTTGCATGCCTTTCTAGCTGTCGGCGTTTCATTCGTTTTTTATCCATTCATTACCAGTAAAGCCTTTTTAGTTTTTTTGTTTTTGTTTTCGTTTTTTTTTTTGTTTGTTTTTTTTTTTCTTACAAGACAAGCAAAGTTTGTACAAAGACTAATAATTTTCTGTAGATTTATATATATTTTATACTTGAAAAGATTTTTAAAATGTAACTTGAAGACGCCAGACACGCAGTCGAAATATTGTTTAACATTGTCAAACACTGGATTTTTTCTTTTCCT